ACACACAAGCACTCACACACAAAGAGACACATAAAATATATATACTTTATCTTCAAGATCTAACCAGATTGAGCTTTTAAGGTTCATTTAGATACATGATCCTTCTGACTGCTGTGTTTTTTTCTGAGCCAGAGGCTGAAGACTGCTCAGCCTGAAATATTTTTTTTATTCACTTTTAGAAATGTTAGCTGAAGATGAACCTGCACCTTGTGCATTCTCAGGGAGTGGACGTCAGTGTCCCCTAAATGGCACTGAATGTAAGGGCGGCTGGCCTGGACCAAATGGAGGCATAACAAACTTTGATAATTTTGGTTATGCAATGTTAACGGTATTCCAGTGTATAACTATGGAAGGATGGACAGATGTGTTATATTGGGTAAGTGGTACTTTTTGTGTATTTGAAAACATTTCATCTAAAATAAGAGTTCTGCAATTATTTTATAATTGTGAGCCACTCTGGTAAGTAGCTGCAACTTACTTTTCTTGGATTACTTGGGTTTAAACAAATTCAGTATGGACAGTTTTTTTTTTTAAAAAATAATCTTATGTTTCTAGGTTTTCCAACCGTATGTTTCATCAAGATGTCCAGTTTTGTGAAAGTCCTTGCATCTGATTATTTTTAAGCACTCTGAGATTTTTATATTAAAAGTATTTACAATTCCATGTCAACATGCTTTCAAAAATGTTTTTTAGTTTTATTTTATTTGGCAAGTATTGAGCATATAAAATATAATTGAAAACAGCAACTAAATTATCTCCTTCTTCAATTTTCTTACACTATGATAACGAAACATATTACACTTCCTGTCATTCCTGATGAGAGTTGTAGCTCCGCAACATCTGGGTGGCTACAAATACATTTTCTTATTTTGTATCAAAGTGATAAAAATATCAGTAGCTCTACTCTATCCCTTTTTACGCAGAAGTATTCCCGTCTTCCTATACAGTAAATGTGTTTAGAGTTGTACCCTAGATATAAATATTCAAAGTGATTCCAGTCCTTTACAATAGGGGTGCACAGCCTGAACCTGCAGCACTACATAAGATTTGGTCTGTAGATCTGATGCAGTACTTCTCTAAAATGCTACCAAATTGCAATGTTTGTTGTGATCAAATTGGAAAATACATGGGAAATAATATTAATGTCATTTCATTATTTGAAATAGAACTAGATGCAAGCTGTAGCCATTTTTATTAGATAGCAGGGAAAGATTTGGGGACCAGATGTTGTAGATAGATATGTATTCTACCCAGTGGTGGGATTCAGCCAGTTCGCACCACTTCGGCAGAACCGATAGTTAATTTTTTGTTGCCCAGGCCCAGAACGAACTTCCGAAAGCGGCATCCACACAGAGAACCGGTTGTTCCCATATTTGAATCCCACCACTGATTCTATCTAATCTGAAAACTGGTTAGGTGATTGAAAGTATTCTGGACCCCGGAATTTCTTTTTGAATATCAAAATTCAATAGTGCTTGCACAAAATTGATTAGTTCAGTTTTGTTTATTTTAGCAACGTAAATTTGAGCAGGAAAGTATTTTTTATTGTCCTTATTTTTTTTTTAAAAAAAGGGGGCGGGGTTGTCAAAAAATAAATCCTTGCTGACCTACCTGAAGTTCCAGATCTATTTTCTTTATAAAACTCTTATTTTATGTTATGCCTTGTATGATTTTGAAAATTATGTTGAAAATTATCTGAATATAATGTCATGCCTCAGAAGGCTGACAAATACTTGGAATATATATCATTTTCCTCCATTAGGCAATTTTTTTAAATGTTTACAACATCAAATATTGCAATGATTTTAACCACTGTGATGGACAGAGAGTTATTTCCTCAACTAAAGGCTGCTTCCTACTGAAGGGGGCAGAAGAACTCCATTAATATTAATATTTGTCTACACCCAGCAGGGATTTAATTAATATCTCCCATGTGGGACTAATTGCTAAAGTAACTTCAGCCACCCATGGAAACAGAAAATAACTATTCTGTGTTTACATATTCAGCAACAAAAACAATTGACAAAGATGCTATTCTTGTCTGTTGCTGCCATTTAATTATAAGCTTTTAAAATATTTCACATTACTATATGGGTGTGTATACTGCACTATTACAATGCCCCCTTGAAATCACCACAATACAGTCATAATTGCCATACTAGGGAAAGGGCCCTCGTTTATTTGTATAAGAAGAAATAAATGGCTAGGAGGATGGCTACCTCTTCATAATATTTAGTGGGAACTCTTGTCAATTAAACAGAAACATTGAGATGTTTTCACTACCAAGTTACAGTAATCGTCAGGAGGTTTTGTTCTAACATTCAATCCAAATTGATCAGCCTTCCTGCAATTTAAATACATTATTCTGTGTCCTGCACTTGGATCAGTAGAGGTCAGGCCTTCAGTCTGGGTGCCATCTTTTCAGGCATTTGAAATATACTGTCATATCCTCCTTCTCTTTTCATTTGAGATTCCTTCACTTTCTTTATATAGGGCTTAATTCCTAGTCCCTGATCATTCTTTCTGTCATTCTCCAAGTTCTTTTTAGTTAGCCAGAATCCTTCTTAAAGTATGACGCAAAGCACAATATATAAAATGGCATCTGACCAATGCAAAGTTCTCTTATGGAAACCATTGTAATACATGAAAAGGAATATTTGAGAATGCATTTCAGAGAGGATTGAGAACTCCTTTGTAAATTATTCCTTTCCTCATTAAGACAGAATGTTTCTAGATAGTTTCCTATCTAAAATTCAAAATAATGTTTAGCCGTCTCTTTAGAAACTACAGAATCAAAAATAAAACTGTAGTGGTAAGAAATACAGGGGAAAATGAGTGAGGTTTATATTAATAAGGTTCAGATTTGTTCAGAACATTACCAGATGAAACTATTAGAATGCTAAAGCTGAAAGAAGCCATTTAGGCCACCGAGTCCAACCATCTGTTTACTGCAGAAATATAAATTTTCTTGTCTGATAGCTGTCTGGTTTTCACTTGATCACATCCAGAGAAGGAGAGTCCATTAATAAGCATATCTCTTAGAAAAGAACTTTGAAGCATGCTGGTTAAATGTCAAGAGTTTTAAATGAACCATATAGCATGAGGATCTCACATGGAGAGAAATTATCTGAACTGCTTTACATGGAATACCTACCCCAACACAACAAAACTTAATCTGCCACAGTTCTTTTTATATTATTATTATTATTATTATTATTATTATTATTATTATTATTATTATTATTATTATTATTATTATTGTTGTTGTTGTTGTTGTTGTTGTTGTTGTGGTTGTGGTTGTGGTTGTGGTTGTGGTTGTGGTTGTGGTTGTTGTTGTTATATACAGTATCTAACAGAGAGTGTCAGAAAAGCATAAAAGTACTTTCTCCATCTCCAGAAGATGGTTTGAAGGATGCTTTTCTCACTATAAAAGAACTAGTGAGATGTAGTGCTTAATCAGTTGAACTTGAATTAGAGAAAGCAGATTCTTGTCCACCATCAGCCATAGAAACTCAGAAACTTTGGACCACTCACTGTCTCTCAGCAAGGATGTGATTGCATGGAAAAAGATGGAGGAAAGAATGCTGCATGTGTCACCTTGCACCAAGAAAGACAGAGTATAAGTTTGACAAGTAAATACATGACTATTTTTGAACCATGTTTATTTGATTCACCTTTATTTATATGGATTTAACACTGTTAACTTTGATTATTTTAACGTTATTTTTTTAAAGATATTATTTCAGGAGTTTTGTAGCTAATCTGGTTTTGATTGTAGAACCTATCACAAATGACTCTCTTACACTATGATTACCGCTACCCTATCTAGGCTGCAAACAAAATCCAGTCAATTGTTAGATGGCAACAAAAATAGTATAGAAAACTTTTACTGCCACTTCGTGGTCATCCAGACCACTCTGAGATATCCTAGACTCACGTTTTATGGTCTGGTCATCTTGTACTAGAGTGTAGAATTTCTCTTTAAAATTTATACTCACTGCTTTTAATCAATAGTTTTATCAATAATTGAATAACATATATTAAAGTTGAGTTTATGAGGAGATGAGTCTTTGTTTATTCTAGCTACTACAGTTGTTTGCATTGTGTAGAAAGCCTTGGATAGAGTTTAATCAGTGTTTTTTTAAAAAAAAAAATCTGTTCAGTCATGTCTAATTCTTAGAGACTGGTTTCAGAGTTCAATAGGTAACTAGGTAATTTGATATGAATGTTGTCTGTAACAACCTGTCATTGTGTCTTTATGTAATATTTATAAACAAATCTGTCTCTTAATTATTTAAAACTTCATATAAATTATTTATAATTACATATTTAACCCTGTGTATGTCATACAATAAAAAATAATACCTATATGCAGCAGATGTCATTGCAATACTGAATTACAGTAATTGATTAGGAATATAAAAGTCAATGTGATTTCTTTGGAAGGTGTCTGTATTCAAATCTAGCTGTTTGTTAATGTGTAATGAATGAAGTTTTCCCAATTAGTAATAGTTAGTGTTTTGGTTCTGTAGAAGTGCATGCTTTTCTACATCCTGATCCTTCATAATTGAAATACTATGTATATTAGGCAGTGATTAAATGAATGTTCAGCAAAACCAAAGCCCTGGATAGGGTTTAATCAGTGTTGTTTTTTTTTTAAATCTGTTCAGCCCCTCCCCCAATTTTTGGCAATTACCATATATAATGAACCAATACCGCTTATGCTATTGGTTTTGGGAAGTGTGGATAAGAAGATGTAGGGAATATATTAGATATTTGTGGAGAACAAGGAAACAGAAGTCCAAAGAATCTTATTATAATATAAATGACATACATAGTAGTGTGTGTTCATTTCATTGAGTCCCTAGTTCTTTAGTCATTTATTTTATTTATTTCCAAATTTTCCCTTAAGGAGCTCAAGATAAGAAACCTGGGAATCCTTCCATTGTGCTCTTATAAAAACTATGTGAGATAGCTTGGATGAAAATGCAAGTGTTCTACAGTCTTCCAGTGAGTTCTATGGTCATGTAGAACTTGAACTTAATCTCTACTAATATGGGGATTTATGCATTATTAATATCCACAAACTCGGACCTGGCGGGTATTACGGAGACCTGGCTGGGTCAAGAAGGGGGGGTGCCCCTCGTTCAAATGTGCCCGCCAGGTTACCGTGCATTCCATCAGTCGAGAGCCCAGGGTAGGGGTGGGGGGTGGCGGTTATTATTAGGGAGGTCCTGGACCCGAGGGAGACCACTGTGCCGCAGACTGTCAGTTGTGAGTCCTTGGGTGTGAAGTGGGGTCATGGGAGGCAGTGGGGCATGCTGATAGTGTACCTGGCTCCCCGCCACGTGTCGGCAGCCCTACCCGAGCTTCTCG